TGTCATCCGGGAGAAGAATGACTCTCACCCCGTGGTCAAAAACTTCTCTTACAAGAACTTCCAGCAGAGTGTGTTCCAGTTCCTGAAGAGCTACGTGGACAGCTCGGAGCCGCTGCTGCTCACGGTGCGTGTGCCGGTGAACCGGGCGTCCCGGCCTGCGCCCGCCTCTGCCCGGTGAGGGCAGCGGGGAAACGGCCCGAGCTGCACAGCTGGGGAGAGCTGACACCTCTTTTGCCACGAGGCAACAAAACACAGGAATTTGGCTTCTACCTGCCAAATGAGTTAGAGTTTAGGTACCTAATTACCAGTGGGTTAAATATGAAATCCCTCAAATTCAGTCCATTACACAGCTGAACACGTGTAACGAGTTTTAATTGATAGACATGAACTCTGCTGGTGGCAGCTTAGAATGCCAGTGGGAGGGGATAAAATCAGATGGTAGTGCAGGGAATCATCTTTATAATGGTGACCTAAGTTTTTTTCTGTCCAAGATAATGAAAAAGACTTTGAATTCAGAACATTCCAGAGAACCAAAATGCCCATCGGTGACTCCTGAGTCTGCAGATACACCAAAGGACCAGGCAGCAGCTCCAGAGCTCTCGGGAAGGGCAGAGGACCCAGCAGGAGCTCCAGAGCCTGCAGAGATGGAACAAGACCTGGAGGCAGCTCCCAACCCTGCAGACAGGGCAGATGACCCAGCAGCAGCTCCTGAGCCTATGGAAGGAGCTCCTGACCCAGCAGCGACCCCTGAACACCTCACAGCAGCCGTTAATAACTTGGAAGATGCTTCAGAGCCTATGGAAATATCTAAAGAACCAGCAGCAGCTCCAGAACTTCCAGGAGTGTCCTGCAGGGCCTCAGAAGGGTGAGCAGAGGAACGTGGCCCCTGGGTGAAGCGTGGCAGCAGTTCTCTCCGAGGGGCAGTTTGTTGTCCAGGCAGCTGTGACCCCCCCGAGTGCCTGGACAGGCCCCAGGGGCTGTTGGTACAAGACTGCTGTGAAAATGTGGAGGTGGTTTGGGTTTTTTTGTGAAGATGTGCAGTGCTGTAGGAAAGGAGGCGGGGAGGGCAGAGGATTTGCTCTGGTGGAGCAGCATTTGGTGCCCCTGTGGCTCAGCCCTGAGCCGAGAGCAGCAGGAGGGCGCGCGGCACTGGCCGCAGCGGGGAGTGTGGGTGAGTTCCCTCCCTCAAGACCTGCTGCCCTGGCACGCCGCAGCCTGTAGGAGGAGGGTGGACAAGGGGGGGTTGGGAGTGGGCTCTTCAGTAGGTTATTTGCACCCTGGGGTCAGGTGTTGGGTGTGACTCTGTCGGGGAGCAGCCTGGTGTCAGTGCAGTGGAGCCAGCTGGGTGATGTCTTTCCAACCTGCTCAGTTGTGTTTATTTTGTAGGCAGCCCCCTGGAACTGTCACCACCTACGGGATTTCTGTGCTGAGAGAAGCTTTCAAGATCCTGTCCAACTCCCAGGACTCTGATGCACTCTTCACCAAACTGGATGAAACAGACTTTTCTTTCCCCAAGCAACTGTCTCCTTCTGTATCCCACAGAACCAAGAGACGGAAAGAAGAGGAGGATCACGATTCTGAGATCTCAGACCCTCCTGAAATACCCCATAAGGGCAAACGCTTGGTGACCATAAGCAAACTGGTCATGGAGCAAGACACCCAGTTCAGCGAGTTGAATGAGAGCCCAGACTCTTCCCAGGAGCCCGTTGTATCTTCTGCTTCCAGACCTGGTCAGAAATTGCAGGAGCAGCCTGTGCCCGCTCCGAGTGCCAAGTACGAAGCGCGTCTCTCGTGGTATATTCTGATCTGTACCCGTCTTTCGCGTGCAGCTGACGTCGGTAGCACAAACAGCAACCACCTTTCATTCAGGATGAGTATATTGACCCTCCTTGTCCCCTGGTGTATGTGGAACTGGGTGAAGTAAAAGCTCTGTTGTCCTGTTTGGTTAGTGGAGAGGAGAAAACGAGGCAGCTTTCCCTGGCAGGGAGTCAGAGGTACTGCAGGAGGTGCTGGGAGGTGATTCCGGTCTCTGTATCGCAGGTACCGTGTTTCTCTGAGCTTTGGAGCTGCAAAGAGTTTGTAGGTGCATTTTGTGGAGCAGGTTAAACTCCTTTCCACCTCTTGAGGAATTCAGTGCTGGCCTCACTGGCTCTTTTTTTCCTGACACCTGTGTTGGTTAAGAAACTTCTGGTTGTAGCTTTCTGACTGTTTCTTCAGTGTGAGTTACCACTTGCCCTGCAGCGGAGGAGAGCCCTGCAGCTGAGAGCCCTGCAGCTGAGAGCCCTGCAGCGGAGGAGAGCCCTGCAGCAAGAGCTCGGGGCATGTTGTAGCAAAGCTTCCTGCTG